AGCTAATTAAATCCAATGTAAACAGGAGAAAAGAAATAATTAAAATTAGGGCAGAAATCAACTGGGCTCAGTGGCTCAGCCTGTAATCCCAGCATTTTGGGAGGCCGAGGTGGGTGGATTGCCTGAGCCTGCGGGTTCGAGACCAGCCTGGGCAACTTGGTGAGACCTTGTCTCTACAATAAATAAAAAATTAACTGGGCATGGTAGCACGCACCTGTAGTTCTGGTTACTTGGAAGGCTGAGGTGGAAGCATCACTAGAGCCCAGCAGGTCGATGCTGGGGTGGCCTTGAGTGAGCCACTGCACTCCAGCCTGGGCGACACAGTGAGATGCCAACTCTCTCTATATATATGCAGAAATCAATGAACTTGAAAACAGAAAATCAATAGAGAAAATCAACAAAACCAAAAAGCTGGTTCTCTGAAAAGATCAGTTAAATTAATGAACTTCTAGCCAGGCTAACTAAGAAAAATAAGAGAAGACACAATTATTAGTATCAGGAATAAAAAAGAGGACATCACAACAGATTCTATGACATTAAAAGTATAATAAAAGGATGCTATGAACAACTTTATGTTCATAAATTTTATAATCTAGATGAAATGAGTTGATTCCTTGAAAGAGACAATCTGCCAAAACTCACACAAGACAAAATAGGCAATCTGAATAGGGCTATATCTCTTAAAGAAATGGAATCAATAATCAATAACCTTCTAAAACATAAAGCATCAGGCCCACATGGGTATACTGTTTAATTCTACCAAGCATTCTCATTTTTCTAAGCTTTATAATAAAAATATAAAAAATAAGTCATTATGTATATACACTAACTGTATTATATAATTTTTGTGTGACCCAAGACAATTCCACTTTACACAACATGGCTCAGGAAGCCAAAAGGTAACTTGATTGGGCCCAGGGAAGCTAATAGAACACACCAGAAATTATACCAACTTATACCAATTCTCTACAATCTATTCCAGAAGATAGAGAGTGAATACTTTCATGACTCATCCATGAAGCCAGCATTACCCTAATACCAAAATGAAACAAAAAAAATCACAAGAAAACTAGACCAATATCTCTCATGAACACAGATTCAAAAATCTACAACAAAATATTAGTAAATCCAACAATGTATAAAAAGAATTACACACCATGACGAAGTGGGACTTATTCCAGGCATGCAAGGCTGGCTCAACATTCAAAAATCAATTAATGTAATTTACCACATCAACAAGATAAAACAGAAAAGTCACATGATCATATCAACAGATGCAGAAAAAACATTTGACAAAATTCCAACTGTAAGGTAAATGAAACCAGACCAGGCGAAACAGCAACAAAGGAGCCAAGGAAAATTTATTAGTGCAATCCTGGGCAAAGTTCACCGGTCTGTGTAGCTGTGGGCCGGAGAAGTCACGCCCAGCGAGATGGGTGACGGGTTTATAAAGGGCACACTGTGAAAGCTGTGAGGGGGTTGAGGAGAGCAATCACTGGTTGGGACAGCTGTCATGTCTGCTGGCGATTGGCTGAATGGGGTTGCTAGAGTCGCTGTAACAGGTACTGGCTGACTTTGTGGCTGGAGTCTTAGTTCCAGTCACTCATTTTTGCTGGCTCACTTTCGCCCATTGTTCTCCTGGCCTGCGTTGGAGCCGTCTTGTTGAGGCCCGCCCCGCCTTCTGGTGCCTCCGGCCTTACATCAACATCCATTTATTATAAAAATGACCAGCAAACTAGGAATAGAGGGGAACTTCCCTCCACTTGATAAGGAATATCTATAAAAAGCCAAGTGCTAACATGCTTAATGATGAGAAACCAGAAGCTTTCCTGCTAATATCAGGAACAAGGCAAGGTTGTCCCCACCCCCTTCCAACATCAAACCGAAAGTCCTAGCTAATGCAGCAAGACAAGAAAAGGAAATAAAAAGTCATACACATTGAGAAGGAAGAAATAGTCTTTCTTCAGAGATGTCATGATAGTCTATGTAGAAAATCTGAATACATTGACAAAAAAACTCCCAGAACTAAAGTGATAATAGCATGGTTGTAAGATAAAGATCAATGTACAAAAGTCAATAGCATTCCTATATACCAGCAATGAACAACTGGAATCTGCAATTAAAAGCACAATACCATTTATGTTAGCATTCATAAATTAAAATAGGTATAAATCTAACAAAATGTGTATTATCTGTTTTTATCTCTTGCCCATTTAAAAAATTAGGTTATTTATTTTCTTATTGCTGAGTTTTAAGTGTTCTTTGCATATTTTGGCTAGTAACCCTTTATCAGCTATGTACTTTGGAAATATTTTCTCCCATTCTATGGCTTGTCTTCTCATTCTCTTGACAATGTCTTTCGCAGATAATTTTTTAAATTTTAATGAAGTCCAGTTTATAAAATATTTCTTTCATGGATCATGGCTTTGGTGTTGAAAGTAAAAAGGCATCTACAAACCCAATGTTACTTAGATTTTCTCCCGTGGTATCTTCTAGGACAGGGGTGTCCAAACTTTTGGCTTCCCTGGGCTTCATTGAGTAACCTTTTGACTTCCTGGGCTGCATCAAGTAAAGAGGAATTGTCTTGGGCAGCACATATGTTAGATAAATAGTGTATACACACAATGAGATTTTTTAAAAAACCTTGTATTATAAAGTTTAGAAAGATGAGAACGAGATAAAACTCATGGAAATTTTGACCTTGCTTTTGTAAAACTAATCTGTCACTGCTTTGATGCAAGTGGTTTCAGTTCTTAGTGAGTTCTCAAGGTGCTCATCAGAAATGTCTGTTGAATTTTGCTCTTTATGTGCTTCATAATTGAAAACAGTTGCTTGCAAATGTATGTCCTGCCAAAAAGCCATGTCATGAATAAGGCGTGATTATGAACTTCAAAAATGGAACTACATATGGAGTCATGAAGAAAATAAATGCTGACCACTTGCTGCTAAAAAATATATGATGTTAAAAGATTTTGTGAGATCAGGTTTGGTGGCTCAGCCTATAATCCCAGCACTTTGGGAGGCTGAGGTGAGTGACTACCTGAGCCCGCGGGTTCGAGACCCACCCGGACAACTTGGTGAGACGTTGTCTCTACAATAAATAAAAAAAATAGCTGGGCATGGTAATATGCGCCTGTAGTTCCAGCTACTTGTAAGGCTGAGGCGGAAAGATTGCCAGTGCCACTGCACTCTAGCCTGGGTGATGGAGTGAGACTTCAACTCAAAAAAAAAGATTTTGTGGAACACATTACTAATTGTCCTGGGCCACATGCAGCCTGTGGGCCACGGGCTGAACGTGGCTGTTCTAGGAGTTTTATAGTTTTGTGTTTTACATTTAGGTCTATGATTAATTTTTAGTTAATTTTGTGAAAGGTGTAAACTGTGTCTAGAACTCACTTTTTTGCACATGGATGTCCAGTTGTCCCAGCACCACCTGTTGATGGACTGTCTTTTCTTCATTGTTTTGCCTTTTGTTCTTTTGTCAAAAGTCAATTGACTAAATTTATGTGGGTCTATTTCTCAGCTCTCTATTCTGTCCCATTGATATATTTGTCTATTCTTTCACCAATATCACCTGTCTTTATTACTCTCTTTATAGTAAGTCTTGAAGTTGGAGTGTCAGTCTTCCAACTTTGTTTTTCCCCTTAAGTATTGTGTTGATGATTCTGAGTCTTTTGCCTCACCACATAAACTTTAGAATCGGTTCGTCAAAATCCACAAAAATCTTGTTTGGGCTTGGATTGGGATTGTTTTGAATTTATAGATCAATTTGGAAGAACTGACTTCTTGACCATTGTACATATTTTCTTTTACAGCAGTTTCCATCACTGAGCTTATGATTCTTCTTTCAGTTTCTCCAAGGAGCCATGTCTCTGGCTTCTAGGTATTTGGCCAGGTGGTTCCTTTCAGTGGGATGGCCATTCCCACTTTGCCTGGTTGACCACTTGCTGCCTTTCTGGTTTCAGCACAGACATCAGTTCCTCAGGAATGTCCTTGTGACCTCTCTAAACAGAATTAACTACCCAGTCTCCCTGCTTCCACAGCCTGCACCCATCCTGTTACTGGACTTAAGGTACTAAATGGTAACTTTTGGTTTACTTGTCTATTTCCTGCACTAGACTAGGACCTCCTTGAGAGCAGAGAGTGTTTTATGTATCACTCTACTTCCAATGCTAGGGGGGAGTTGCCAGTCCCAGATTTCTCTGGGAATGGCCCCAGTTCTGTCTCTGCCCTGGCATGTTCCACATCCATATCCTCTGTGGAGCCCTCTGACTAGAGAAACGATCAACCCCAGAATCTGTGAGTGGGAAAGCAGCTCTCGTTAAAGAACAACTTAAGCTGGGCTCGGTGGCTCAGCCTGTAATCCTGTGCCGTTGGGAGGCTGAGGTGAGTGAATTGCCTAAGCCCGTGGGTTCGAGAACTGCCTGGGCAGCAAGACCTCATTTCTACAATAAATCAAAAAATCAGCCAGGCGTGGTAGCGCACGCCTATAATTCCGGCTACTTGGAAGGCTGAAGCGGAAGGATCGCCGGAGCCAGCTGGTCGAGGCTGCGGTGGCCGGGAGCGGCCACTGCACTCCAATCTGGGTGACAGAGTAAGACTCCAACTCACAAAAAAAAAAGAACAACTTATATTGTTAAAAGAATAATTAGCATTGAAACCTATTCGCTTGTAATAGATCCTTTAACAGGGTCTCTTTAAGTGTAATCTTTTTAAATATTTGTTTTAAAAGTTAGAGGGAGAATTTAAGATCAAGACTCTCCTAATCCAGGAATCTCTCCAAAGCTAAGGCAAAGAATCTGAAATGATAATGATTGGAACAGACCTTTGTGTACCTGGATTGGAACTTTCCATTTTATTGACAAAAAGACAAACACCTTCTGTCCTGGCACCTTCCTCTTGCTTGGGGTTGGTTGCACCTTTGCTCAGCTCCGCCCAGGTGTTGCCTGGCTGCAGCCTCTCTGCACGTCGGCCTCAGAGTCAGTTCTGGCTGTGCCGAGATGGGGCTGCCCCGGCCAGGGCTGTGGCTAAAGAGGCTTTGGGTCCTCCTGCAGGTAGCTGTGCATGTGGCCATGGGCAAAGTGCTACTGACACTGTTTCCAGAGAGAGTCAAGCAGAACATCTTGGCCATGGGCCAGAAGACGGGGATGGCCAGGAATCCCCAGTTCACCCATGACAACTGGATCCCGACCTTCTTCAGCACCCAATATTTCTGGTTTGTCCTGAAGGTCCGCTGGCAGCGACTAGAGGACACAACTGAGCCAGGGGGTCTGGCCCCAGACTGCCCAGTGGTCCGCCTCTCAGGACAGAGGTGCAACATCTGGGACTTCATGCAAGGTCAGGAGGCTGCTACACGCTTGAAGGTGTGGCGGTGGAAGGGCGTGGAGAGGTGGGCTGGAACGTCCTGAATTCCTCTATGACTCTAGCTGCTCCTTCTGGGCCTTCTTGTTCTCTTCCTACTTCCCGAAATCAGGAATTCTCATGGCTTCTGTTTCTCTGAGTGGCATCCCCCCTTCCCAGGCACTCAATCCACAGAGGGTCCTCCCTGACCTCCCAGCCCCAGAACACTGCTCGTCCCGTGCAACCTGATCTGCCTGGGATGCTCTTTGCCCACTTTCTGCCTGGTTGATCCGTGCTTGGTCTTCAGACTTCTGTTCGGTGACACTTCTTGTGAGAAGCCAGCCCAACTCCCCCAGACTAGGTTACGCCCTCTTATTTGCTTGGTTAACATCCTAAACTTTGTTATGCTTGTCGTGGTTTGTAATCACGTGTGGGTATTTGATTAATTAATGTCTGTGCCCCCACTAGCCTGCAAACTCCATGCAGGTGGAGACCCTAAGCCATGACTGATGCTGGCACAGGGTAGTTGCTCAGTAGATACCAGTTAAAGAGCTCTCCCCCAACATCCAGACAAACCAGTTCCGTCTGTTAGAGTTCCTAAGGACCTCTCTAATCCGTTTTATCTTTCTTGTCCTCATAGCTTCTCTTCCCACTAGGATTCCTTCTCCCCCTCCTTTCCGCTCTTGCGCCCAGCTTGTGATTACTGCCAGAGGATTCCTTGCTGAGCACATCCCAGCTTAACAACCTTCTGCAGCTGCCTTTTGCATTTGGGATGAAGCCCAGACTTATCCTTCCCAATGGAACCTTCAAGTTCCCCCTGCACGTGTTTCCTCCAGACCATCTGTGGGCCTTGCACAGCCCTTGTGCTTTCCCTCCTCTTTGCCTCTGCTGATACGGTTGGTTGGTGTGGAACGCCAGTGTTCAAATGCCCCTCATTCGTCATGGCCCAGCTCTCATGCTTCCTCCTCCAGGAAGCCATCTCAGATCCCTACAGTTAAGCATGGTCTCTCTCCCTGTGACTCTTGGCTCTGTCTGCCTGTCTCCTTGGACACTGCTTCTTTCGAGCCATCACCTGGCTGCCTATTTCCCTTCCTGACAGGGAGCCTGAGGAGAGGGCCTGTGCCTGCTTTCTAAATCCCTCAGCGCGCTTAGCCCGGGGCCTAGAAGCAGCTAGTAGGGAAGGCCCTCAAAGCAATTGGTTTAGCCAATGTTTTTCAAAATATGTTCTTTGGAACCCAAGTCCCACAGATATGCTTTACTATGTAGAGCTCCCCAGTCAAAGTAGTTTGGGAAACTCTGCACATGAGATCCTTTGCACATGAGTGTATAAAAGGCTCTGAGAAGCCCTGAAGCTTAAAAGCAAACACGCAAAACTTGAAAAAACTTTGTTTAGCCCAGCAGGGACTAATTTTCCTAATACTGCTTCCCCCCACTCTCCACCTATCATCATTGTTTGGTTCCAAGGAACACACCTTGGGAAATGTCGGCCTAGTGCAATCCTCTTGTTTTAAAAAGGAAACGGAGGGAAGAGGCCAAGGTAAGAGGTACAGTGAGGGACCAAGTCAGACTCAGAATCAGGCCTTCTTCCTCTTGTTCATCTTTTTCTTTTTCTTTCTTTTTGAGTTGGGGTCCTTCACTCTGTCATCCAGACTGGAGTGCAGTGGCACGGTCATGGCTCACTACAGTTTCTACCTCCTGGGCTCAGGTGATTCTTCTGTCTCAGCCTCCTGAGTAACTGGAACTACAGGCGCATGCTACCATGTCTGGCTAAATTTTGTATTCTTTTAATGGAGAGATGAGGTCTTGCTATGTTGCCCAGGCTGGTCTTGAAATCCCAGGCTCAAGCAACCTTCCTGCCTTGGCCTCCCAAAGTGCTGGGATTACAGGTGTGAACCACTGTATCTGGCCACATTTCTTTTTCTTTTTTTTTTATTTTTATTTTGAGACACAGGGTCTTTCTCTGTCACCCAGCATGGAGGGCAGTGATGTGATCATAGCTCACTATAACCTCAAATTCCCAGGCTCACATGATCCTTCTATCTCAGCCTCCTGAGTAGTTGAGACTATAGGTGTGCTAATTGTTTTAAAAATTGTTTTGTAGAGGTTGGGTCTTGCTATGTTGGCCAGGCTGGTTGCAAACTCCTGGCCTCAAGTGATCCTCCCACCTCAGTCTCCCAAAGCACTGGGGTTCACAGGCATGAGCTACTGTGCTGGGTCCCTCTTGTTTTTTCAAAGCACCTTAATAAACATTCATGAATACCTTTTATGTGCCAGGCCCTCAGCTAGATATCAGGGATTCGGGTACAAGTCTGCTCCTTGTTTTAAGGGGCTTATTGTTCCACAGAACAGATGAATGTAATATACACATCCTTACAATCCTGTGAGATGGGAAGGGTACAAAAAGTATGACTTCTGCCTGCAGGAACTGGAAGATTTCCTGGAGGAGGCAGCCTTGGAACTAGGCCTTGAAGAGTGAGTAAGATTTTTGGAGCTTGGGAAGAGGGAAGAGTGTTTCAAGCAGAGGGAAAGGCAAGCCTTTCTTTCTTTTTGTACATTCAGAATTTTATTTTATTTTATTTTTTTATTATTATTTTTTGAGTTGGAGTCTCACTCTGTTGCCCAGACTGGAGTGCAGTGGCCGCTCCCGGCCACCGCAGCCTCGACTTGCTGGGCTCCGGCGATCCTGCCGCCTCAGCCTTCTGAGTAGCTGGAATTACAGGCATGCGCTACCACGCCTGGCTGATTTTTTGATTTATTGTAGAGATGAGGTCTCGCCAAGTTTGCCCAGGCAGGTCTCAAACCCACGGGCTCAGGCAATCCACTCACCTCAGCCTCCCAAAGGCACGGGATTACAGGCTGAGCCACCGAGCCTGGCTCATAATTTTAAATCACAGGGCACAAACAACCTCAATTTATTCAACAAACATTCACTAAGTGACTACTGGTAATGAGAGTAATGAGAAGACCTCTTGGTTCAGGATTTTGAGGGACTCTAGGTCAGTGTGCTGAAAGTTAACTCTGTTTTGTAAGTAGAGCTTTCTGTCTTTGCCCACGGCTGGTTCTTTCTGATTCTCCATTTCTCAGGTTCAGTAGCAGCTCCTCCGAGGCCTTCCCTGCCCCACCTGTCTAAGTAGGTCACTCCTTTATGGTCTCTTTTGTAATACTTATCACAGCTTGAACTTAGTTCACTTATGCATTTACTTGTTGATTGTCTGTCTCCCCATTACACAGACCTTATCACATGTCCATGTGCCAAGTGCAGAGACAGAACTGGGCCAATCTGCTGTCAATCATCTGCAGATCAGTTCCCCAAAAGCCAACTTGCCTCAGGACTGATTCACAGAATTTTCTTGCATCATGGAACTGTCCATTTACAGCAAGTCAGTTTATATTTTAAAGGCTTTGATTTATCTCTGTTCCCAGCTGCTGCAGTTGAGACTGAGGGACGGTGAGAGGAGGTGACTGAGGCAAAAGAAAACGCTACTTACAAAACAGTTGACTTCGGGACATTAACCAACAGTCCCCTGAAATCACAGGTACTGCCAGTGCAGAAGTAAACACCATTGGCCGCTGTCCTGAAAGGCCTCATAGCCCAGAGCGAGAGATGGCATAGTGAGAGGGAAGCAGAGGGTTCAGGGGGAAGGCACCCTGTCAAGGGCAGGACAAGGGGTAGCCAAGGGAGGGCGTCCTGGAGGAGAAGATGGTGAGCTGATTATCTTGGGGCAGGTGAGGAAGAGGGATTGGGGGAGCAGGGCAGGACAGAAGGGAGGAGCAGCAGAGGTCTGGGACGTGGAGGAGCATGGTTCAGTTTGGCAGAAGTGGGGTGAAGAGGCAGGAAAGGGAGAAAGATGGAGCTGAAGACATCGTCAGAAACCAGAACTTGGGGGGCCTTACCTGCAGGCTGGCCACCCTAAGGGCATGGGTGAGTTCTGGAAAAGTTTGCAAGCAAGCAGGGAGTTAACATGATCAGTCCTGCTTATTAGAATGATGTGCTATAACTGCTTCAGAAACCCACCAGGCCACTAAAAAGTTCTGTTGGATGCTTTGGTTATCATCTGAACTCATTTTAGAGCCACAGACTGGGAGATGTAGAAGAATCTTCACAGATAACTTAAAGCAACTGCTTCATTTTTCAGATGCAAAGGCCCACAAAAGTAAATGGCTTGCTTAAAGACATACAGTGAGTTTCTAGAAGATCCAGAATGAGAACTTGTGCCTTTTGACTCTCAGCTAGTGCACTTTCTGTTACTGGAAAAGGTAACAGGAGCCCAGAGAAAGTCTCAGCCACCTCCCATCCTCTGCTTGTCCATGTACACGCACACACAATATATATATATGCACACTCTTGGATGTCGTGTGTATGACTGGTTGAGGTCAGAAGTGTGAGTGGTGAAAGAATTGATGAAGACAGTTGTGAATTAAGAAAGGTAGATTTATTCAAGGGAAGATATGAAGGTATGTTCTAAGAGTAGTGGGCAGGGCAGTAGTAGAGGATGGCTGTCTGTTGTCTGTAAAGAGGCGGGGGTTTGGGCAACCCCTTTGGGTCCCTTCCCACTGTGCCAGCTTTTTAAAAAATCCTACTTTAAAGAAAAAGAGGCAGCAGTTTTAGGGACATTTTTATAGGGCTGTGTGTGGGGAGTTTGTAAGCTGGACATGTCAGAAAAGTTTAGGACGATTGATTGTGGTTATCTGGTTTTTGTTTTTTTTTTAATATACTCTTTTTAGTTGGAGTCTCACTCTACCACCCAGGCTGGAGTGCAGTGGCATGCTCACAGCCACTGCAGCCTTGACCTGCTGGGCTCAGGTGATCCTTCACCTCAGCTTCCAAGTAGGTGGAACTACAGGCACAAGCCACCATGCCCAGCTAATTTTTTGATTTATTGTAGAGACGAAGTCTCGCCAAGTTGGCCAGGCTGGTCTCAAACCTCTGGTCTCAGGCAATTCTCTCGCCTCAGCCTTCCAAAGTGCTGGGATTACAGGCTTGAGCCACCACGTCC